CAATTCCCATTCCATGGTGACAATTCCCATTCCATGGTGACAATTCCCATGGTGACAATTCCCATTCCATGGTGACAATTCCCATGGTGACAATTCCCATTCCCATGGTGACAGTTCCCATGGTGACAATTCCCATGGTGACAATTCCCATTCCCATGGTGACAATTCCCATTCCCATGATGGCAATTCCCATGGTGACAATTCCCCTTCCCATGGTGACAGTTCCCATGGTGGCAATTCCCATTCCCATGGTGACAGTTCCCATGGTGACAATTCCCATTCCCATGGTGCCAATTCCCATTCCCACGGTGACAATTCCCATTCCATGGGAGTAATTCCCATTTCCATGGGGGCAATTCCCATTCCATGGGGGTAATTCCCATTCCATGGGGGTAATTCCCATTCCATGGGGGTAATTCCCATTCCATGGGAGTAATTCCCATTTCCATGGGGGTAATTCCCATTTCCATGGGGGTAATTCCCATTCCATGGTGGTAATTCCCATTCCCATGGGAGTAATTCCCATTTCCATAGTGATAATTCCCATTCCCATGGTGACAATTCCCATTCCCATGGGGGTAATTCCCATTTCCATAGTGATAATTCCCATTTCCATGGTGGTAATTCCCATTCCCATGGGGGTAATTCCCATTCCCATGGTGACAATTCCCATTCCCATGGTGACAATTCCCATTCCCATGGGAGTAATTCCCATTTCCATAGTGATAATTCCCATTCCATGGGGGTAATTCCCATTCCATGGGGGTAATTCCCATTCCCATGGGGGTAATTCCCACCCCTATCATGGTAATTCCCATTTCCATGGGGGTAATTCCCATTCCCATGGTGACAATTCCCATTCCATGGTGGTAATTCCCATTCTATAATGGCAATTCCCATTCCTATGATGGAAATTCCAAAAAGTGTGGGGCTAAATTTTCAAGTAAATTGAAAATTGGGAATTCTATTTACTTGAAAATTCAGCCCCACACTTTTTGGCTGCTGTGGCTGTTTTAATTTTCATTATTCAGTTTAGTTGAAAATTCAGCCCCACACTTTTTGGTTTATCTTCATTACTCAATTTACTTGAAAATTCAGCCCCACACTTTTTGGCTGATGTGGTTTTTCTTC